AGATAATATGAGAAAAAGAAAAGCATTATTAAGGAGAGAGAAAAGTAAAAGAACAGGAACTAAGACAACAGAAGATAACGATTGACATTGCATTTAAATTTATAAAAATCAATAAAAAATATGAAAGAAAGCAAAAAGTCAGAAGAGAGTTCCACAAGTGAGAAGTGCAAGAAAAAAAACTGTTAGCATAGAACTTATGATTACATCTAGCCATTTTAACTGTAAAATGATGAGACCATGCCACCAATCTAGTACTGCACTTAAATCAAGCCAAGATGCCATGTCAGGACCAATAACACTGCAGATCAAGAATCTCTAAATATATAGTAGAAACAAGAGACCAGATGTGGCAGCAATATTCAAAGCATGGACAAATATTGACTTATAAATGTGATTCTGTCAAGAAAAAATGTCTAGTATGTTGAAGCATCTGTTGAGTTTAAAAGTTCTGAATTTTAGCTCCTTCATAATAAAAAAGATGAGTCTATTTCACAATACCATCTGCTATCGAAAGGTACATGTGTATGTGCATGCATATATATATATATATATATATATATATAATAAAAAGGCTTAAACATGAATATTAGTGTTTAAGCCTTTTTATTATATCCTTACTCTGTCCTGGACATTGAGTTCTACCTGGATTCTATCCTCTTGGAATTTTTATTAAAAAAAATATACATGTATGGGTATTTATATATTTTGCAGATGTATGTATATTTACCAGTAATATTATATATATATATATATATATATATATATATATATATATATATATATATATATATATATCAACACCTGAAGACTGTATTAATTGCATGAAACTTTGAATAGTGTTATTGACATTGGATATTATGTATATAATAAGGTATGCTATATTTTTACATAAAAGTGATCAATATCACAGAGTGCATGTAAAGATAAAAGCAGATACTGATGTCAACACTAAGCAGCAACAGTTTGTTTTATGTTTAAATGTTATCTTCAGGCCATGGGTATTGTGTTTTTGCTTGACTATCTATGTATGTAGTCAATAGTGCATTATGGGTAGTAAGGTCTATTGTATTATCTTAATGGTTAATGGGTGGATAGTAACAGTTATGTTTCAAATTATTCTAAAGGCTATCAAGTAGAAATAATTGTGGATCCAAATGCAGTTACTTGTAGCTATTTTATAGTATTGTTTTTTTTTAACTTTTTACTCATTATTTATTATTCATTACTGTGTTATTGTTATTATTATACTTACTGGTTTATGTGTGTATTCGTAGTTTGTTAATTTGTTTATTTAGATTTTTGTTTTTTTTTTCTCAGGGGTTGGCTATTCTGCTTATCTAGTTTCAAGTATTGGCTTTGTCTAGCATATGCTACATTATCTGTGTTGTATATAGTACATATATATAGTATATAGTACATATATTTGCATTTATCATGGTGGCAATTTCCAAGGTATTCGCTTTTAGTTTTCAATTTTTAAGTAAGGTAATAAAAATCTGTTTTCTTATCTGCATTTTGAGATAAGTTCTGATCATTTGTTTAATAATTTGTGTTTGTCTGGAATTGAGATTATACCTATTTTCTCCTACAGACAAAGATTACAGTTTTTGGATTTATAGGCTGATTCAGTTTTCCTTATTTCCCATATTTTTAGTGTAATTTGTTTTTTCTTCTTAATTTCCCATATATGTTTAGAAAGCAATGTGTTGGTTGCATATTTATTAAGGATGTTTTGTGTGCATAGTTTCTCTATTTCTAAGATCATTCAGTTACTCTTATGTATATTTTTTCTGCATTATCTGCTGTTTTATATATATATATATATATGTATATATATATATATATATTTGAATAAAAACAGACCACTTTAATTTTTCTGTTTTTATTCAAATTTATTTGCTCTGAATTTACATTGAGCTCTCTGGATATCATCCTCCTTGGGTCTACCCATACGGATTACCTAGTTTGCATAAACTAAATATATATATATATATATATGTGTGTGTGTGTATGTATGATGGACTCTCCCATTGAGTTTGACATATGAGGTTCCAACGTCCACAAACTAATTATCTGCATGCCTATGATGGGCATGACTTTTGAGACCAGCTCGAGAATTACACAAAAGACCACAGTGCAGGAGAATGTATTGTATCCAAGTGCAGCAGGAACACTGTTAACTGTCTTATTTTGCTTTCATGTTTCACAAAGACAAATGATGCTTACTTCTTGATGGTGCATTATTCCTGAATGGCAGCTAGAACAAATCTTTGATCTCTTCATAGCTACCTCTTCAAAGTTCTTGAATGGAATGTTGACGCAAGAAAGGTAGCTTTTCAGTTTATCTTTATACCATAGCAAAAGTCTACCAACATTTCTATGACCACTATGGAGTTCACTGTAGAAAAGACCTTTTGGTATGCGATCATTACTGATATATATATAACCGAAATGACAAAAACGACATTAGTAAACTGTTTGAGAACATAGAGTACTGTAAGTAATAGGGAAATAAGCATTGATAAAAAAATCCAACCTTTGGAATGCAGGGAGGTGGTAAACATGGTGTTGCATACACTTGACTGCTGTTTCATATCACATCTTACATGTGTCTGGCAGAGGATCACTATAGGCCCAATAAAAAGAAGAAAAAAAAACAACATGCACAGGAGAAGCAGAAGTGGGAAATTGGTAAAATGTAGCAGTTCAAGACACAAGTGTTGGAGATTTATTGGCTGGAGTTTGACCAGACATCCAATTTCAGAAGCAAAAGAAGAAAGGATGAATTCTACAAATTAATTTCTGTCAGCCAAAAACACAACGACCCTGTATGAACTCTCCAATCACAAAAGGGACTCAGATGACAGTCACCTACTTTAACCACTGTAACCAAATGAAGTCAACAATAAAATGGTACTATAGACAGTAAATTTGGCCTTTACTTATATATTAGTTCAAACTTCATCTCTATATACCATAAGTACCTCCACTAAATTTTTGATACCTAAGGTTTAAAATGAATTTTTAAAAATGTATAAAGCATTCTTGAAGCTTTCTTTTTAGTTTTAATTGAAAGCTAAATGATTAAACTTACTATTTCCAGTAAGCAAAATACTCTGGTGTATTTCAAATAGAAATTATATTGATTTGAATATTAACTTTTTGGCTGCTTTCAGAAAAATCAATAAAAAAATTGATAAATATCAGCCATTTGATAGATTTATGAACAAAGGTTATTTCTTGGTTTTAAGAATCTTGCAAAAATAAAATATATATTTGTCATATGCTATTTAAGGAAAATTAGCAAATTTAAAGTTAAATTAATCTGATTTGAAACAAATATTACTTATAGCATAAAAGTTGAAAGGTTAAGTAAGTAGGCTTGACCAGAAATTGACATAAATTTATGAAATCTTAAGTAAACACTTTGTTTTTGAAATTAACATAATATTTTCAGCAATTATATAATATTTTATTGAATTTTAGTTACTTTATTTATTTATAGCCTTACATTTTTATCAAAATAACTCCCACAAAAAAGAATAAACTTAAAAAATAAAGTAAAAACTAAAAAGTAAAACAAAAAAAAAATTTTATGAAATAGGAGTAAAAATAATTTGAAAGGAAATTTCAAAATAACACACAAATGAAAAAAATAAGAACTTCAAACAGAAATTGAATAAGAAAAATTTTTTAAATAATTTTTACTCTCCAGGTTACTTAATTGAAGTATGACCCACTCTAAAATAATACATAAAATAAAAATATTTAGTGAAATAGGAATTCAAAAAAAGTAAAAATTACTTTAAACTTTCAAGTTTAAAATACTGAAGCAGGGATCTGCAAAAAAAAATTGAGACATAAATATGACAAAACACAGAAATGAATACTGAAAGAGCAAACGGACAGTTTTTTAGGGAGGACAACTCTTAAAACACGTGACGGACATCCATACTTACAAAAATGAGAATATTTCTACGCTAAAAAAAGAAATTAAAAATTATTTTTAGAATATTGGAGGAAAACGACTTTTACTAAGCTTTTCAATTTTTGATCCGTAAATATAGTTTTCCTTAATAAATCTTATTTATAAAAACAATTAAAAGCTTTTCTAATTAAGTAATGTCGTAATGTTGCATTTTTTTTTTTTTTACAATTCAGGAGATTTTTGGTAACTGGGTTAACTCTTACAAAAAAAACAAAAAAAACTGATAATTTAAAAAAATTCTCCAAGGACTCTTGCTTTTAACTAATAAAACAAATTTTGGCTTTACAATTTAGTTTCTCTTAATTTCATGAAATTTAAGTAAATGGGGATAACATATGTAAAAAAAAATATATTTTACCAAGATTTTCTAAAAAAAAATTTCAAAAATAATTTCATTTATTTGTGAATATCCTGAAAGTTTCATTAAAATCCAACAATTGATTTTTGCAAGAATTTTCAAATAAATGTTTTTCACTAGAAAAAAGGCACAAAAACACTAATCATAAAATATTATGTCAACTGCTGACATAAAAATACAAGATTTTTAACCAATATTTCAAACATGCTAAAAAGGATTAAAAAATTTCAAGAAATAATCAAAAAATACTTTGGTCTTTCCCCTTAATAATAAACATTTTGAGGATAAAAGTTTGTTTTTTATTAAGTTTTGGGCCTTTTTTCATCATGCGATGCTGTTTTTCAGTGGAAAAAGTGAATGTACCTACGTTTGTAGTAATAAAAAGTAATATCAGATTAAAAAGCAAACATCCATTAAGTTCTTAAAAATATATCAAATCTATGTATATGTGAGGTTGGAGCTATATGTTGAAAACTCCAGATTAACTATGGTCTAAGCAGATCATCAACTTTTACCTGCTTTTTAAAATCTATGCTCCAGTACAGGAGAGATTCCCATTTTGAAGCTTCTATTTTCAGATATATCACTCAGTATCCTGTTTTTAAATAATAAAAAAAATCCAAATGAAAATTTCTTTATCACAGTTAACATTTATTAAACTCCTACAGTATAAGGTTCAGCTTTGTACATTTCCCAGGCAAATTCCTCTTCATGATTCATATCATACATGGCACCAATATAATCGATTTCAAGTTGGAAGCACCCACTATTGCCATCACCAAGGGTAATACCAAAATGAGCAATTTTGTCAAGAATAAGACTGTCCTGTTTATCTTGGACTCGACCTTTGAAGGCTCTGTAGAAACGAGAGAAAGGAATCTGAAAAAAAGAAAAAAAAAAGAAAAAGGGATTTATTCAGAATATTAAAATTATTGTATTAATTCAATTAATTACCTACCCATAGTAAAATTTGAAAAAAAAAAAAAAAAAAAAATCGATGCTTCAAATCATCGAAAAAGAAAAAGAAAAAGAAAAGATACTGTGTCCATACCTTGGAGCTATTGATATTAAAGGTAAAAGATACTTTTAAAACATTTAACCCCAAGGTAAGCAATAAAGCCACTAAGACACAAGGGGTTACTGAGTGTGAGAGAATAAAAAAATAAAACATTATAGAGATAAAACAATAAAAGAACAGGAATTAAGAAGACAGAAGATAACAATTCACATTGTATTTAAATTTTTGAAGATCAAAGATGACTGGAAAGCAAGAAGCTAGAAGGGAGTTCCACAAGTGAGAAGTGTGATGAGAGTAGAAACTGTTAGCATAGAACTTACAGCTAGATGTAACTGTAAATTCTATGCTATTAAATCCATTTACATTGTAGTAAAGGGCAGTGATTCTGAAATTTACAAAGATGAAAAAGCTCCCTTGGCTTTAGAGAATCAAATTTTGTATTAAAGGTTCTAACCTAACAAAGATCCCATTCATTAATCTTTATGTAATATTCACTTGAATATACAAGGCCTCATCAAAAAGTACTGGAACTGTTGCTATGGTAATGAAGCTAAAGTACATAGAGTGAAGCCACTTGACATAGATTGACTTTGAACTCTGTCGTGCATACACACTAAGTTATAACATTCCCACTCACTTCTGTTGTTTATAGCAGTGCTTGGAAGGAAAATGTGTAGAGTGTGGTCATCTCACCACACTAGAGATCCTATCAGTGAACATGACTTGTGCAGCAGTTTTTGGTCAAAACAACATTCCCCAGGTCTGACAATTACCATATTCCCCAGATCTCACCCTTGTGAATTTTTCCTTTTCAAAAAATAAATCTTACTTGAAAGAACAAGATTTCAAGAATGTCAAAGAAATCTAAGAGAATGCATTGTTCCAGCTGCTTGCTATCCCAGAAAAGGAGTTCCAGGAACGATTCCGTCAATGAAAATGACACTGTATTGTTGGTGGATGGTTGTAAACAATGAAGAGGAATATATTGATGAATGGTTCATCAGAACTATTAATAAATATTAAAATAAATTATAAAAAAAAACAAAAAAAACAAGTGAATTTAGGTAACAACCTAATATAGAATAACCAGTAATAACATTCTACAGGTGAAATATTTGCTTGGTGAGGAATGAATGATACATATTAAGATGAGATGGTGCCAGATAAAACATAGTAAAATCAGAAACCATAAAGCATATGGTATCAGAGGTGCTGAAAAGTTCTTGCTCCAACCTACTTCTCAAAATGTCACTGAATTACCCAACATCAGATATCTTTTTAAAATGGGCCAAGAGCTTTCAACACATCCTGATCTATAAGCATAAAGTAACTTTATGAATTATGATTCATTGTCTCAAAGGTTGCAAACAAATTATCAATCTCCTGACCTTTGCCACTTGCCAATAGGGCCCTCCACGTGTATATAAAGCAAAATTGTAGACATCATCCCAATGAATGTCAAAAGTCATGTCCATTTGAAAATTGAGCATGTATGTCCGGCCATCTCCACGGACCCGCAAAACCAGATGTGTGTACCGTGAAAGGTCATATGGAATTGGTCTTTTGAAAGATTTCTACAAAATAAATAAAACAATGAAATAATTAGTAATCTGCAATAACTGTCAGCGTAAGACTTGGTCTATATATGTCTAGTTTTATTCAAGTTATTTCTTTCACATCAACTGCACAACCTCTGTCAATACAAAAACAAATTTACTGTTGTTGAGCAATTGACAAAGTTTTCAATAAACAATAAGAAAAAGAAAAAAAGAATAGGGAAAAATAATACTAATCAAACAATATATATGCAAGTCAAAACTAGGCAAAGCAATAGTAATAATGCAAAAAGTTCAAAGTAAAAAATTGTGATTACATGCAAAAGGGATACAGTCAAGTGGTTATAGTGAAGAACAAAAATATAAGGGATATGACCGAGAATTGTCTATTTTTATTGGTTATGGAAAAATCCCATCATGCAACTGTAGGATTTGTCTATAAATTTGGGGAGAGTGATGTTACTTGCTATCATTCCTTCCACCAACTATTACTACTACCATGTCTTATATATACACATGGTGAAAATATTGAAGATATTTATTCTAAAATAAAAAAAAAAAAATAGTGCTCTACAAAGCATCAAATTCAGGATTTAGAAAACTGAAAGTGAGCACATGAATTTGAACATAAATTCTGTCATTTCACTTTTGAGAGATTTAATGTGAAAAGTCAAATTCAAAGGTTTTGGTCTGTTTCAGACTATGCTGCTTCAGCAAGATTAAAATACATGGAAAAAAAACAAGGGACAAATAGAGAAATTAGTTGTTCATACATTATATGCAGTTAACACGATAGGCTTACTGATTACTGATAGTGAGGAATGAATTCAAAGAGTGCTCATTGGATTTGGCCTTGTACCTAGGTTGGAGCAGACCCCCCCCAAATACCCCTAAAAAATAAATAGTGTGTATAAAAGTGAAGCTACAGTTCCATAAAATTTGCTTTAAAAAATACAGGTGCTGTTTAAATAGTTTTAGACCAGTCCATCTTGTAGGAGTATTTAGCTATTCCACAACATCCCCCTTTTTTGAATTTAGTACTTTCTCTGGAATGAGTACTTTTTCCTTTTTGAGTTTATCCCTAGAGTCCCTGTAAATTTTCTTTTCTGTTTACTAAAACATTTCTCCTCGGTAGCTACTAAGGGCATTGGTACGTTGAATTAGTCATAAATAACGTCATAAATAACGTTCATCAGTTCTTCGTTCTGGTTATTTATATAGTCTAAGTACCTTTTTCTCATCTGGTTGGGAGGACACCAGTATTCCAAATTTCTTCCCTGTTTCTATACACATTGAAAAAAAAAATATCTCCTTGTGTATAGGATTTTGTATCTGGTTTTTTCTTTATTGGTTTTTTTTATTTCCCTTTGGCAACAGTTTATCAAACACAGATCTTCTTTTTCTCATGAATATTAACTCTGCAGTTGACAACACTGAATTAGTACTTGGGTTTGGTGTCACATGATATACTCTTAAAAATTGTAGGATATCATCAATGGAAACATTGCCATCTGACTTTTTTAATGCTCACTTGAAAGTGTCTATAAATCTTTCTGTCTGCCAATTAGACCGCGGGTGATATGGTACAGTAGTGATGTGTACAATTGTCTGACACAATCATATCTGGGATACCAAATCTGGCAAAGAGCTCATGCAAAAAGATAACTGTACCACTGCATATAGGGTTTTTACATTTCATCACCTCTGGCCATTTTGAGAAACTGTCAACCACAATTAAATAATATTGTCCCTTCATAGGACTTGCAAAATCTATATGCAGCCTTGCCCAAGGTCTTTCCATCTTTAGCCAAAGAGTAAATTTCACCAGTGGCGCTTTTGCTGCCATCTCACAACCTCTGCATGATTTTACATTTTTCTCTATTACTTTGTCTATATTTGGCCAAAAAACATAGCTTCTCATTAAAGCTTTCAACCTCAATATACTCGGTTGACCAGTATGGCTGTCTTTTAATATTCTTTTTTTGCAGCGTTTCTGGTATCTCATCCCCATCACCAAATGTTGGATCAGAAATAGGAAAAGTTGACACACATATAGAAAATAAGATATCGTTTATTCTGGAGAATAATATACTACATGGCTGAGAACACAGACTAATGTAATAAACAGTTAATCATTGAATCCTCTCCCTCAATAAGAGAGAGTGCTGTTTAAATAGTCTTAGACCAGTAGATCTTGTGGGGGTGTTCAGCTACTCCACAACACAGATTTAGACCAAAATTAAATGGATGAGGCTTTATCAAGTGAGGAAGAAGCGCTTTGAAGATCAAAGTTGATTGTAAAGCAAGAAGCTGGAAGAGAGTTCCACAAGTAAAACGTGCTAAAGAAGACACTGTTAGCATAGAACTAATGGTTATATCTAGTACATTTCAACTGTAAATAAATATCAATCTAGATTAAATTTACCAACTTAAAATTTAAGTTCCAAAGAGGAAATCTCATTAGAACAATTACCATGAAAATATATAGAAAAAAGGTAGAGGAAAGCTACATTACAGCAATGGGAAAGTGACTGGAGTATAGATACCAAGTCAGGACCAATAACATTGCATCTTTGTATATTATCAAGAATCTCTAAATACATACAGTGCTGCACAAAAGTAAGTGAACCCCTAAGATAATATTTAAAAAATGTAATGTAATCAAGAAGTGGCCATCCATGAAAAATAATTGCAAGAACAAGTAAACATCTAGTTCAGCAAGCCCAGATGAATCCTGCTGTGACCTCTGCAGTTCATCAAGGCTCACTGACCAATGTCAGAATCAATGTGCTAATATTTACATTGCAACAAAATCTGAATGATACTGGTCTTCATAGCAGAATGCCTAGAAAAAAATGCCACTACCTATCAAAAGCACAAATAAGCTCAGCACAACTATGCCAAAGCTCAAGTTAAAAATGTTCTAGAAAAAGATTTATGGCCAGATGAGACCAAACTAGAGCTGTTTGGAAGGAACAATAGGCAGTATGTCTGGCAAGCTCCTAATACAGCTTTTGAAGACAAGCATTTGGTGCCAATAGTTAAACATGGTAGCAACAGTATTATGATTTGGAGGTGCTTTGCTACAACTGGAACAGGCAAAATAGTACACACTGACAGGACAATGGATTCTGCAAGATACCAAGCAATTTTGAATGAAAGGGTCTTGTCCTCAGTTTAAAAGTTGGGTTTAGGTTGGGGTTGGATCTTTTAACAGGACAAAGATCTGAAGCATCAAAGCAAATCCACAAAAGAATAGCTTCAAAAAAAAAAAGAAAAAAAAAGAAAAGAAATTTCAAGTCTCAGAATGGCCAAGTCCTGATCTAAATCCAATTGAAAATGTGTGGTTCAAGTTAAAGAAGGCAGTACATGCAAGAAAACCAGTTAATATTGAGCAATTGTGGGAGTTTTGCCAAGAAGAATAGTCAAAAACTGATGCACACTACTGTCAGAGACGTCTTTAAAATTATAGAAAAAGACTGGTTGACATTGTCACCTCAAAATGAGGAGTCACCAAATGTGAAATGTAAGGGTTCACTTGCTTTGCACATCTTAATTTTTAATTAATATTTTTATTCCAGCTTCTTTGAAAGTGATTGTAATTTGTTTAATAATGGTTTTTCTTAATGAATATATAGTTTAATTAAGATCTGGAAAAAAGGGACAATTTTCTCAGAGGTTCACTTATTTTTGCACAGCACTGTATGTGTTTGAATATAATTATTATATATATGTTTGATGTTAAATTAATTTCACAAGAGATTTGTCATTTATATGACATCAAATATATTATTGTTGGGAGATTCATATTTACAAACTTGATGAATTTGATCTAAAATCAAAATTTAAGACAATCTTTGTGATAAAATATTTGTGTCGTCCATCATATGATGATGATTTAATGTTGGAGATATGCATTTGGTATTTTGGCTAATATCAGGCCATGCCATTTTTGGTTATCCCATGAGACACTTGTAAATTTAAGTTAGACTTTATTATATATAGGTAAAGAAAGCTAAAAAAAATACAGCATAATATTCTTTGTGTGTTACAAAGTAATGGACTTTGACTGTTTTTATATAAGTTGCTGAAGTCATAAAAGGGAACTAATTAGACATAAAACATTATCCAAAAATTCTCATTGAAAAAATTGGAGATTATTCATTTAAAATTCTATTAAATTATACTTGGAGAACATTATTTACATTTTTGCTGTCCCCACTCCTCATGTTTTGGCCAGTTACCCTCTTTGCATTCTTGAAGAGAATGTAGTGAACAGTCTTGTTTGTCTCTTCTGGCTACCATCTGATCTGGGTTTTCATTTGCATGGGACTTTTTCATCACTGCAGCCTTGGCTCTTTTGATTGCAATCTGGTCCTCTGTTGGCAAGGATTTCTTTTTGCAAGACACAATGCTGCTGTATGCAATAGGCAATAAACTACAGAAGGACTCAAAATTGATTGCTGCATTTAAGTATTGCATTAATATTTAAGCTTACCTTTTAAAAGTTCAATGATAATTCTTCTGTTGCCACTTAATTTAAAGGCAATTTTATATATGTAGGTCCTTACTTTCCATACAAACAATTATTTTTATTTCATGGGTAACTTTTGCTGGAGTTCACAATTAATTTCAATTATTCACAAATTTATTTCAAGTTATAAAATTTTTTTATACAAAAAAAAAAAAAAAAAAAAAAAAAAAAAAAGATGAAAACAATTAAAAACTTGGGAATCCAAAATTTCAGGATTGTGAGTCAATATCTAGCCCAGAATACACTATTTACATTATTCGGACTATTGTCCTCATCTTTATCGCCATATTTATCACAATGTTTCAGCCATTGTACACTTCAGCCTTCTTCAGATGGTTATAATATCAAACTGAACCCTTTATTTGACTCACTGGGGTAGACTGTTCTAGTTCCACGTACCATGTCTAATGGATGTCAGTTATCTCCTGTTAATTCCCCTCTCCAAGTTCTCCACTGCCTTAATCGGGTATTGAACTCACACTCTTTGGGTCCAGTCACTGGACCTAACTAATGCCTTTATCCAGTCCACTGTGCCAGATATCCTTGAGGACACATGACACAGTGGATATATATATATATATAATAAAGAACAAGTAGGAAACATATCTAACATATTTCATTTTATTAAAGCTTTGTCAGAGATCAAAATCTGACAAAGCTATAATATAGTGAAATATGTTAGAAAATCTGTTTCATACTTGTTCTTTATCCTGTTGTTTTGTCAGACTCCTATCCATACTTGATCTCTCTCTACATATATATATATATATATATATAGTAACAAATAAAATTAAATGTTCACTTATGTGAACTTCCTTGAGTTTTGCAGAGATTATTACATCCACTCATAAATTAACATGGTTTTAAATATAAAAGAAGCAGAAGCAGTACCATATATCCTGGTCTGATGATCTCTGTTTACAGAGTGAAATTGGAATTTTACTAAGTTTACACACACACACATAGGATAAAGAACAAATAGGAAACATTGTTCTTTCTTTATCCTATCATTCTGTCCAATTATAATCCATATTTGATCCCAGTTAATTTAGGAAACAATTGTTGCTCTAGTTGTCTATTTAGTTAGTACACGCCCGTATTCAATTTTTAACTGTAAAAAAATGCAACTTGCACATGACTACATTTAAGCAACTAAAAAGGAGACAAATATTTAGTAAAAATTACTTACCATAAGTCTCGGTGATCGCAAATTTACATATCCAGCATCTTTTACAATTCCATCCTTTGGTAATTTGGTGGAGAGGTGTCCGTGGAAAAGTCCATTACCGTTTTTATTCAGTTCAAATAATGCCTTACTGCTACCCTCATTATGATCGCTGTCGCAGGTGATGACCCATTTGTCAATTTCTTCTTGGTCACTAAAATGGGATAAATAAGTGTGATCGAGATGCTCGCTGTCCATAATAGCATCGTTTTCTAACTTAATTTTCCATTCTTGCATTAATAATTTAAACTCTGGTTTTAACATTTTCAGACCATTTATAGCCGCTTTTAATTTGTTTTCGCTCGTCCCTTTTTTTTGGTAACCGCCTTTTTTGTGAGCTTGGAAAAAAGTCACACGGGTAGCATGGGGCACCTTAACAGGATGGGAACATGGAGTCAGTAATCCTAGAGGCAAAGACGGTAACTGACCCACAGGTGTCAAGTGAAGACAGTGACGTCGTCCCATGCGTCCGAGCATCAACAATCTCCCAGGTAGAGCCATACCTGCTTATAAAAATTAAAACAAGTTAAAAGATCAGTAAAAATTAAAAAAAAAAAAAAACTACAAAAAAGAGGGTTATCATATTTTTCTAGAGAATTTCGTTTATAAAAGTATGTGTCGAAAAGTTTTCTATACTTTCATTATTATTGATTGATTGATTGATGATTCCATGTACCTTCAGATCAGAACGTCGTAGACGATGATCGTGATTATCTGCGAACTACCATGCATTATTGAGAAAGACAGTGGAGTCGCTTCCCGCTGCTTTTTTTTCTTAATTTTCACAGTTTACAATTCAGAGTTTTCCTTTAAATAAAAAATAAATAAACCTATTTAGATTGGTTATTTTTTTTTTTTAGGAAATGAGTCGGACCAAGATTAAAAAAAACAACTCTTCTTTGTAATGTAAAAAAAAAAACAAAAAAAAAACACTCTTTTTTTTTTACATTAAGGACAAAAATTAACAAAGATTAAAATAAAAATAAAACAAAATTCAACGAATCAGTTGAAGAAAAGAAGAATCACAGTTACTTCTTCTATGTGCCGTGTCTCTTCAGGGCGTTGGCGATCATGGTCCTTAACAATTTCCTGTCCTTTGTAGCTCTTAATAAATTTTGTCATTTTGTTATATATGCTAAATCTCGCTAGGTAGGTTATGATTTCTTTTCCTCTCAGATTGACTTCAAAAGTTAAGTCTTTGAGGAGCCGAAAAGTCATCTTTGAAAAAAAAAAAAAAAGATCTTGTTTTCATTCTCTAACTAAAAAAACAATCATGTTTTGATTTTTGTGGGGAGTGTATCAAGGACGAAATTATTTTTTGAAATACAGATAAGGTTTTATTAAAAACATTATAAGTAAATAACTTTTTAAAAATCAATCAGTTAACTAACTTACTATTAAGTTCAGTAACGAGTTACAAAGAGATGTCATTGAAAAGTTGTTAATGAGTGGATTTGGGGAAAATAATATGAGTTAGGACAAACGATATAAGTAGTTTACTAAAAGATTCATAGAAAATAATATGTAAAAACTTACTTTTCTGATTTTAATAAAGGTGAACCTTGAAAAAGAAGGTAATAAATAAAAACCTTTCTACGTTTGAAGTTCACCTTCGCCGGTAACAGCCATGTTGTTACGAAACTCTCAAGACTAATTTATTTATTTTTTCTCTTTATTTCATGTTTTAATTTTCAAGATTTAAAAAAAATACTCTTTTAATTTTTTGAAAAAAAATTTTTTATCAGATACTGACGATTTTTTTTTAACATAAATAATTAATTTAAAAAGTATATTGCGTACCTTGCATCACGTGTAAAACATGAAATGTGTCTTGAAAGGTGTAAGGGAGATTATCTGTAGAATTTGTCTACAATGTTTTTGATGATGATCTCAGTCAATTCCCAATTAGAACAGTTAAATTTTTCGGTGTATTTAGTGCTTAGGAAACAATTTTAAATCTCAACTACTCTGACTTGAGAGCTGAAAGAATATTATCATAAATAATCATATTTGTTCGCCTAATTAATAGCATTTATGAATGAGGACTAAAGATTAAACATTGTCACAAATGTTTCATTGAAACTTTTCTTTTTAGTTTGAGGTGGGTGCATGCCAAGATGATTCATGATTTTTAATCAAAATTATATTTTTCCTAAGAAAAAAAGAATTATTACTTTCCATCGAGAGTGTCAATTTTTTTTAATACAGGCATATGCACACAAGCAAAAAACTAGACTTAAAATAAGCACTTCTTTTTAAACTGGTGAAATAGAAATGAATGAAAAATGAAGGTTGAAGGACTTAAATTTAAATTTTTGTATTATTTATTTATAAATCTAAAAAAAAAAAAAAACAGTTAGTATCTAATTATAAAAACTAAATTTTCTTTAATAACAGAGGGAAAAAATTATAATTTTTCTGTCTATTTTTGGTTAAAAATTTGTAAATGGAAAATACAAAGGAGAATTTAAAACAAAGAAACATGAAATATTTATAGTCCCAATGTGAGGCAATATATAAATGAGCAAGACTTTAAAAGATTTTCATTGATCATTATGAATAGTTGGAATGCATTAATATTCTTTATATAGAAAATGAAAGCATAAAGTACAACTCTTAAAGTATGATAAAAGTTACTCTAAACATGAAAAAAAAGAAAATGTTTGCATAAAATTATTCAAGGTGATTTAACTGAAATGTTTAAATAAAAATAAATTTTTGATTTTTATAAAATTACAGCTAAAACTGAACTAATTTGTTTTTGTCTGTATTTCTGAGATGTGGTATTGTAACTATTTACATTGTTTGGACTGTTGTCCTCATCTTTATTGTTATGTTCACATTTTTTCAGTTGTTGTACACTCCAGCCTTCTTCGTTATACATTAGAATTTTGAACCAAACACTTTATTTAGTCCATGGGAGTAGATTGCTCTAATTCCACATGTCATGCCTTTGGATATCGCAGTTTCAGTTAATTCCCCTGAGTAACTCAACTTTCCAAGATTTTGTTCCCTCTTTTATATCCAGGTGTTGAACTCACAACTCTTTGTGTTAAATCACTTTTTGGATCACTCAACCAATGCTTTTATCCACTGGGCCATGGGAACAAGCATTTCAAACTATCACTCTTCATCTATTTTTGAACGGATGCAACCATGTATCCCTTCAGTGAGCACACACAAAATCTCTTACCTTTGTTTTAAACAATTTTGAATATTATTTTTTCAGATCATTTACTCTGTTGTATGAACATTTCCTCTTCATGACAATTTGTTAAAACTATAAGTTTTATTAAAATTGGCCAGCAAGATTTGTTTTTCTATTCTAGCTTGCATATAAATTGTTGCTAATCCAAATGTTGCTCATCATCCAGTTCAGGCTTCTTTCCTGTCTATTGAATGAGAGTAAAGAGTTATCCCTTGTTTCCTGTTTTGGATTGAGTTTCTGATTCCTTCTAAAGTCTTCTCATTCACTTTCAGTCCCAGTAACCCCTTGCATTTTAGTGGCATTATTGCTTTGCTTGGGGTGAAATCATTAAAAAAAATTAAATATTTTAAAAAAGCTGTCTAAAATTCATGCTTTTGTACAAGTACTTTCAACCATCTTTAGTCATTATCAGAAATGTCAACATTATTAGAGCTATAAACAAAAGAAAAAAATTATCAGCTTCACCCTAGCATCATTTTATGAAAACTAAATTTCTAATTTAAATATACATGTATTATACACAAGTGATGTCACATTAGATATTTTTTAAAAGAGCCTATTAGGGAATCACAAACCTTGTCAGCATGCAAAGACAAAGACAAATTCTTTAAAAGCATTTTAGAATATCATTCACTTTGATCAAAGATATGTTTAATTTTTTTTTTTTTTGTAAAAAGTTTTATGTATATTGAGTTGCTATAGAGTATGTTTAGCATTCTCTACTAATATTTATCTATGTTAAGTCATATTTTGATTGTAAATATATTACCCATTATATCAAAATACAATATACTGAGCTTTGATAAGTGACAAGTTAAGAGTGTGTAGTTTCTAGGTACCCAATATAAGAATTCAATGTTTTTTTGTTTATTAATATAATCCTCTGAATGGCCCAAGAATTTATGAACATTGTTTTTACATAAGGGTGATTTTTGAGGTCATTCATTGTTGGTAATGATTAAGCCAGGTGTTTTAAACCTTGTTTAATAAATGATAAATCTTGGGTAAAAAGAAATATTTATTAAAATCATTAAGCCATATGTACTGGCAAATTATATTTTTAATGGCTTCATCTTGTTCATAGTTAAGGTGCATCTGGTTAAAATTAAGCTGTTTTTATTTTTTGATTATATCAGGATGGTTCTGTTATATTTTCTAAAATTCTTTAAAGTGAATTTTATTTGCTTGCTGATGACAGGGTTAGGGAAATTATTAAGGAGTGTCTTATTTTTCATGCAGTTCTTTATAAAAAAAAAAAAAAAAAAAAAAAAAAGCATTTGAAAAAGAAATTACCTTTTTGTATGACTGATTGTGTTCTATTTTATATCCGTGATATTTAATTTTATAGTTGAGCAAATAAATATATTTGCTGGTGGGTACACACACATTTGTTGAGTGCAGTGTGTTACCCCAACCAAATCTGTTTATCGAACATGTCTACCTATTATCAAAATGACAGAATTTAGTATAAAATAACCTAAAAAGGTTGACAGGTGGTAAAACAAACTAAATACATGCAGCAGCAGTTTGTATTCAATATTCTTGAAATATTTTTGATCATTAAAACCACATAGTTGTTTTACTTTTTTCTTAATTTTTAACAAAACTGTTCCGTGTTGACAAATGTTTACACATTAACAGTTCAGCAATCTTCTCTTTATTTCTAACTAGCAGTAGAGCCCGACGTTGCCCGGGGATGTAACAGTAAGAGATAGATCAAGTATTGACCATCATAAAGACTGAAAAATAAAATTGACAAAGATTATTGTTTAAGGTTGACGGACACACGTCTTAATTATTTTTTTTTTTTTTTTTTTTTTACGAATTGGTCAAACCCAAACAAAAACATTGTTTTCAATTGTTATGAGTCTATTGATTGTTGTTATAAACAATTGCCTTATAAATGGAATTTTTTAAAGCATTCTGAATGTAAAAATAAAGAAAAAAGCGTGCAAGACAATAAGAAACACTACCTGCCAAAAAAAAAAAAAAGAAAAAAAGTGAAGTTTTGTTGAAATCGGTTAAAAAATGTAGGAAACCCGATCCTATATATAAACGAACACACACACACACACAACCTGGGTTTTATAATAAGTACAACTCGATATGAGTTGTCCCCCTTTCATTCTCGTGATGCCTCTTAATTGTGTTTTCAAATTGATTTCATGCAAAAACAATTGTGTTTTTCCAATTTTTGGTGCTGTCAGAACCACCACAAGGTAATTTTACGTAGTCCTGTGAAGTTTTGTTGAAATCGGTTGAAAAATGTAGGAAATCCGATCCAATATATAAACGTACACACACAACCTGGGTTTTATAAGCATGATTTTATTTTTTTCATCCCTTAATGACTTTGTAATTTCCTGAAAACTGAAAGATATGGACTTCTTTTTACTTTTTAGAAGTGACATCCTGTTCATGATATAAATACAGCATTAAATATGATACTGTATTTATATTTCAAACTTCTAAAATGATTAAAAAAAAAATTCTGACAAATACCATGCCTTGATGGTCTGTTGAATACTAACCAACAAAATTAAAAAAAAAAAAATTATGTAGTGCTAAAGATTCTAATGAATAGATCTCTATAGGAAGAAAATACTAAGTTTTTACAATTCCTATGTGGCTGTGAATTTGTTATACTTTCTGTTACTACACTGCTTGATTTTGATGTCCCCAATGTGTAACTCACCTTTTGCTCTCCATTTTACTGACAACCATGCACTTTGTCTTACAATTTGTTGCAACTTGTTAAATAATTAATTTTTCTTCTGAATGTTATCTGCTTAGCCTAAGGTCATGTCCATTAATAATAAGTCCTGGTAAGACTTCTAATTTTCTGAGAATCATTTCTCTGTACAAGTTAGACAGAAAACTGTTTTCTCACTGGACCTAACATCTCTATTTGCATGTAAAACATTTGTGTTTAATACAAATTGTGTATGGGTCATTTATCTTTTCAAGGTAGATCATCATTTCCTAACATTAAAAAGTTCTTCATTTATCAAATGTTTATTCATTGTTTTTTATGGGTTATCAACCTTTTCCAGGTTATTTAAAGCCAGAAAATATTTTTAGAGTGTAAGAAATTTTTGGGGGATAATGATTTACTGGTACAAGTCCTTCTAATTAACCATATCTTTCCCAAGGATATTTGTGCATAAGTGAATATAGCAAACCTGATTGGAATTGGAACCCAGCCATCAGATTTCCAATTCTGAGCTGTATCCATTACACCACCTACACATCCAAGCTTACAGAACCAGGAATACCCAAGCAGTCACCCATCTAGGTACTGACCAGGCCCAAATGTTTGTAATCTATAAAACAAGCATAGATGTTTCTACATTTCTACTGATCATTGTAACCTTGAAAATTGCATTTCTTGTTTCAGTATTTTCTTCCTATAGAGATCTATTCATTAGAATCTTTAGCACTACATAAAAAAATTTTTTTTTAATTTTGTTGATTAGTATTCAACAGACCATCAAGGCATGGTATTTGTCAGAATAATTTTTTTTTTAATCATTTTAGAAGTTTGAAATAAATACAGTATCATATTTAATGCTGTATTTATATCACGAACAGGATGTCATTTCTAAAAAGAAAAAAAAAGTAAAAAGAAGTCAATATCTTTCAGTTCCTACTAATCTACAAAAATTATTCCCAACAAAATGTGGAGCAGTCAACTGAAGTCAGTGGTTTCCAAACAGTGCGGTGTGCCTCATAGGTGTGTCAGAAGAGCTTAGCAGGTTAGGTGGTGTGATTGAAAGACTATCAAAGATTTAAAAACAGTTTTAAAAAATTCACACATCAAAAATATGATTTCAGAATTTAAAATATTATTATGGATTACTTGTAATTGCATGCATGAGTCCCACTATAAATAATTATTGAGTAATTTTATCATTGTGATATTTTTATCAAGTATTAATAATATAGTAACTAGGTCCTCAGCTATGGGCAAATAACAGGACAAACCGGGTTCTATAGCCTTGGATGGCAACTGGTCTATGATAGAAAGAAATGGCAACCTACTGCGGGAAAAAAATCTCACCTTGTCAATCATGCATTGAAAGATACATGATTACCAAAGCGTGTATCATGCATGGCACATAACTGAACTAGGCTCTGCAAATTGGAGAGCGTTATCAATGATAATGTTCTGACTTCGAATCCGCAGTTATCTCTCTTTAACCCTATCTCTGTTTTTATTTTAAAATGTACTTTTTAATGCAGAAAATTTGGTGAGGTATGAGCAAATTTTAATTCCAAAAATGCAGCCCAGAGAAAAAAGATGTTTGGGAACCACTGATTTAAGTAATGCCAAACCTTCATTATTAGTTTTGTAATGTGGTTTTAAGCTGACTGATGAATTTTGCATTCATTCACATATTTCTTTTCTTTTTGGACAAGATCATGGAAACTGATCTTAGATCTGGTATTTTACAACCACTTTACTTAACTTCAGATAACAATAACATTCCTTACTGATAATCTATAGGTCAATTGTTGACCAACAGAAATTCACATTTTATTGTGGGTGATTAAAATTCAGTTTGTGCATTTAATAGGTACCCTGTCCTTCAACTAATCTGTGTTCAGAAGCTATTTAGTCCAAGAAGGGAAATTTAATTTTTTTCTTCCTTCCAAAATGGTGAAAGCAGCTTTGTGAAAATACTCCAGTCATTAGTGTGCATCTATGTGGATGATACAACAGTTTATCGGTGTACGCCACAAAATCTAGAAGATCGGAATCCAGCAGCTCATCTCTCCTCTGACCTAGCCCAGGTAGCTCAATAGAGGAAAGACTGGCTTGTAAAGTCCAATATGGCCCAAACCAAACTAGTAACATTCCACCACCAAGCACACACCTATCGCAATGGATGGCACATCTCCCAAGGACGCTTCTTGCCTTGAATGTCTATTGGTAATCAAGCTTTCCCCCAGACTTCAACTCGTATATCTGATCTATTTCTAAAGATGCTGTAAAAATGGTTGATTTATGATACCACTCCTGTACCTAAATCCCCCTGCTATACTGTATCTACAAGTCAGACCAAAAATGGAGCATTGCTGCCATATCTGGTCATGAGCTACAGAGTCTGCACCTGCCTATATTAATTGATTTCAGAAGTATCCACACGGCCTTGTGAGTAATGAATTCCCACAAACCCCTTTCCCACAAAACCTTTCATTGCTCTATCACTATTTCCATGGCGTGTATTCTGATGAGCCACATTCTCTAGTCCCATCACTCCTGACCTTTACAAGTAAGACCCAGCCTGCTGTGAATACAAATGTGAATCATCCTCATTCCCTTTGTATCCTATTAGTAAGAAAGAAGTCCCACTTGCATGGCTTCTTTCCAAGAACAATTGATTTGTGGAACAAACTCTTGGCAGGATGTTTTCCCAATCATTACAATCTTAACCTCTTCAAATCTAGTTAACCATCATCTTTCCTGCCTTTCCATGCACTCATACAACACCACACAGTAACCCTCTACCTTGAGTGGCTCTTGGACCTTATAATGGATGAACATATATATAATTAATATTATATTTTAGAATTAAAAAAAAAAATGTAAATGGTCAATATTTGATTTTAAAAATATATTGCTTTTCAGAATTTATTCAAATCTGTAAGAGAAATATGTTCCAGAATTACTTCATTCTCTGTTATGATATATATATATATATAAGTTCAATCAAGCTAAGATTTATCATCTGATAAGAGAAATGTAATTTATCTCCAAACTTGAAAGTTATATATCTTTCTTATAATTATGCACTTGCCTCATAGCCTGTCATTCCCAAAACTTTACTCTTCTGAGAGGAGAACCCAGATCTTCATTTTGATGTTACATTTGTGCGCTAAAAGGGGAAAAATGACTCTTCTATGTGCTGCATCCCTTCAGGACATGAGTATTCATGACTTTCCATAACTTCCTATCTTTTGTAGTTCTTAGTAGTATGTCTTTTTGCTATTTTTCCACTCCTTGTTCTGCCATCCATTTCCACAAGCTTAAGTGACTTGTTTCTGCCTGATTTCTTTTGCTTTTGATATATCATGTAAGTGTGAAAATTTCTATGCCCTCTTTCCTAATTATGTGTCCCAGAAATTGAATCTGTCTCTTTCTGATTTTAAGTATAAGCAACATTTTTTATCCATGACAGAACATGTATAAAAACTGGGCTACTTTGACAGGATGTAATGTTTAGCAAGCTTGCCTTGCAAGATCAATTACAACTAAATAGTAAGTTCAATGCTCACTGGGTGATCCATACTTTCTGCCTTGTGCCACATCCAAGTTATGCTTAGTAAATCAATATATGTATAAAAAAATGCAATGTTGAATTATACATGGAGTCAGGCTTTGAAATCTTCCAAAGTGCATTTTTCTAAATATTTTTTTTCTTGAAACTATTTTTAGTAAGGCCTGGGTTTTTTTCTTTCAGGCTCTTTAAAATCATATTCAAATAAGAAAAAATATTTCACTGCTATGAAAATTAAAGTTACTGCATTTAGAAAAGGGCAACAGAGATGCTCTTGCCATCAAGTTTAAAACAACAATAATTATATTTTTCATCGTGGTATTTCTTGTAAAATGTGCTCATCTTAAAAATGAGAAAATTCTTAGGAACTGAAAGTAATGAAGCAAAATAATCAGAACTCTTCTGTTAAAAAAAAAAAAAAAAAGATAAAGACACAAAAATTGCTTTGTAAAATTAGATTTCATTTACTCATAAAAAAACATTTTAGTAACATTTTTGTTCTTTTTACTAGGCCTCATATTTTCCAGACATGCATTATTTCAAAATTTACATTATAGATTGCAAAAAGTAGTAAAAATGCAAGTTTTATAACAAGAGGAAGAAAATTCAAGCTGTAAGAAAAATTATAAATTCCTTATATTACATAATAAAAATATAAAAATAGCCATTACTTGTGAGGGAAGATGCAAATTTGTGTTTGTATTGAAAGTTATTTAGGAGGAAAAAATAGAGTAAATAAAAAAAATAATTAAGCCTTTTACTATTATTAATGTCTCTTTGATATTGGCTTCTTGAAATTTAAAAAAAAGGCATATCCAGAATATAAGGCCATGTAAAAATTGACCCATTTTTCTTTTAAAAATTCTTAATGAAAAAACAAATTTTTTTTTTGGTTTTGTTTCTTTAAAAAAATTCATAATCAAACATTGTATAAACAAAAGCCAATGTTTTGTGGTAAAGGATTTTGGCCTCCTTTCAGTCCAATTTCTTCAAAATCGTGGCTGTCAATATCAAAGCATTCGCAGTGCTCTCCCGTTAGTTTTCACACCATGCATGCGGCCATGACTGTTTTTACATCTCTTTCTGAGGTTTTACTTTAGGCTCGTCTTGTCCAGCTTTACCTAGTTCACAGGAGAGAAAGAAATCAAATGTAATTTTTGTAAGTTATAACAACAACAATGATGATAAACTTACAACTAATTTATGGAAATTAGTGTAATGGCATTCTAACACAAGACTTATCCAATTAAGGGGTAAAGAAAAGATCTTGCTAATGTTTATTGAGTGCAACAGAATAAAATGTATAATTCTACTTCACTTCTTGGAGTTTTACTCCATTTATTTCCTGTTGGGTTTAACTTTTTTATTATTTATTTGGAGTTACAAGCACCTGCCATTCTTTTTTCTCCCTTGTCCCCTCTTCTTTTTACCCCCCCATGATACAAAAACTTATAAAAAAAAAAAAAAAAAAAAAAAAAAGTTAACTAAAATTTGTTGGAATTATTGGGATTATATGGTTTACTATTTGGACAAGTGGGATTGAAGCAATAGTTAAACTAGACCTGGTTCCTTAGTAGTTGTGAGTTCAAACTGATTCAGCAGAAGTGACACAAAAGTGAATAATACTGATGAGTATAAACACATGAAATATCCAACCTAAGTAAGGAAAAGTGAATTGAGTAAAGGGTTTGGATTCAAATTCTGAGAATACTACCAAGTAGGAAGATAGACATAAGAATCCTGGAAGGTACAAGGGCTGAAATGTATGTATAACTATGAAACTAGTCTGAATGGAAAGATGTAATAAAAAAATGTATATCAAAAGGAAATAATTCCAAATTTATTAACCATTAATTACAGAAATGTTCCCTTTTCCTTAATAAAGCCACAGCAGCAAAGTTTAACCCTTGTGCCCACAGAAAAAAAAAAAAGTGTGTGAAAAGGACAGTTTTTCCTTGACATCGGTATTATTTCATACTCCCTTAGCAATGTTTATCGTTTTAAAAAGCAATGATTAGAATTTTAATAAAACCTAAACATATGAACAAATTTTTTTATTCATAAATTTATAAAATTTACTAAATTATATGTGAACCAACTATAATGAAATCTTTATTATTAACCATTTTATAAAGTTTAAATTGATTTGCAATTAGCCAATATTTTGCCAACCATTCCAGAGAACACAATTCGCTAATTGCTTTAGTCAAGGTGCACTCTTCATCAATCAGCACTTGGCTGACAATAAACGATCTATAGGCAGATTTTCTAGGCATTTTTCAAAAAATTAGCAACAAGTTAAAATTATTTTTCAAACTTATAATTTTCAAAAAACCAGGTGATGGGGACAACCTATAATTTCTGGAGTTTCAGGCCTGCGATTTCTCTTTTGATCACAATTACTTTGATCACAATTATAAAAAAATTGGAAACTTAAAACAAAAAGTAATATGAAATATAAAATAATTTGAGAAGAAAATATATAATGTCCAGAAATATATATTTATTCAAATTTTCTTGTTCAAAGATATTTTTTATAAAATTGTGAATAAAAAAAAACTGGTTTTCAATAGTTATTTATAAAATGGTAAATGATAAATATATTACATGGTAGTTTTGGTTCACATATTTTGAAGATTTTGTAAATTTTTTTTATAAACTTTTGAATAAAAAGATTTCTTTTCAAATTTATTTCTCTATAAAATAAATCTTTATAAAATTGTAAGCAATCTGGAATTGCAAAGGAAATATTTGTCATAGATTACTTCCACAACGCAAAGAATAAATCATAAGTTCAGACTCAAACATCGGGGACAGAAAGAAAAGCTGAAAACTCGATTTGCAGGTACTATCTCACAAATCACAATGCACACAACCAGTTAGAAAAATAACTCACTCTCCGACAAATGCAGTAGCCAAAATATTAAAATTTTTCTTTTTTGATCAGCTGAGCATTTTTTTTTCATTTGTCAACAACTGGGAGAGGATGCCCTATTTTTGCATATCAAAATACTTTTACAGAGACTCTTGCGACAAACTTGTTTTTAATTTAAATATTCCGTCTTCAGCATGTCATGCAGAATACATGCCCGTTTTTTTTCGCCACATTTTCTATCGTAGGATACATGTGACATGCTGTCGCTTGGTTTTGACGAGGTAAATCGACATTTTCTTTGCTATAAAAATGGCAAATAATAAATATCGTATTGTATTTGGTTTACATATTTTCATAATCTTGTAAATAAACATTGCTGAGGGAGTCTTGTAATATATAGTAATAGTAGTGTAAACAGTTATTTTTTTGCATGCATGATGGTTAAACTTTGCTGCAACAGCATTTTAATTTGGCATTTATTAAAGCTTTTTGCTATAATTTTAAGAAGAGTTATTCCAATAGTTGTCCAGATTAATGAACTCATTATAGTCACATTTCAGCTAATCTATTGGCCAAAATATGGTGAGTATAACAACCAAAACCGGTCTGAATAGCAAAAAATACAATAAGACTGGCACTTGAATAAGGCCAGAGGCGTACAACATCTAAAACATTGTGAGTATAACAACCAAAATGAGCAGGCTGATCTTAATAGCAAAGCATATAATAAAGCTAATTAAAATTCCCATTTATATGGGAAATTATTTATAAATCAATTAGCATTAACACCTTACAGAAGAAGAAAGTGATAGCTAAATAGTTAGAGTTTGGGTAAGTGGTCAAAGCAAGGAAGATATTTGAATAAGAAGAGATTCTTTAAGACTAGTTGTATGATCAGAACATCATTCAATCATATTTTTATGTGTCACTGTCATTCTGAATACTGAGGAAGCAGAAATGATATGTTGTAAAATTTAGTAATTGTTATCAATATGAAATGTTTGAAAACTATCATTTGTTTAGATGAGTTAGAAACATATAGAACTGATATTGCGTTATACACACGCACACACAATTTATAGTACTGTATGTTAAACTACAAACAACAACAAAAAAAAAACATCAACTGATAAGAGCAAATAAACTTGATTATCTTTTTTTTTCTGAGAAGCAATCAACTAGTCTTCACAATGTAGAGATCATTTTTAATAAATTCTAACCAATTCAAGCCCATTTACTAATTACAATCAACTAATGGCAGTGAGAAAATGTTAGAATAGTATTCATTTATTTTTATCTGAAAACCTGAGCTTTGCAATATTCTTAACATTAAGATAATCAAATAATTTTAAAAATAAAAAAGAAGACCTGGTTTCTGCATCAACTAATGAATATAAACCCTTCAAACACAAAAAAAATCGTTTAATCAGATTTGTGAAGAAGGTAGTTGTTAGGGGATGCTTACCTACTTCCCCTATAAAGGACAATAACTCAAAATACAATTAAGTTACTTCCCTTGTCTACTAGTCAGAATCTGGCACTTCTGTATTAAACATAGTGACATGCACTTTGAATTCATGGTTTAAATCCAAACTAATCCTTGCTGTTCTCAGAAAGTAAATGAACAAAAGTTGTTTTATTGAAATGCATTTGTCTTTCATTTTCATTTATTCCAACAACCTGAGATAACAATAGTTAAACAAAGAACTTTTCAGTACCCATTTCACACTCTTAAAAATAAGGATTCCAGTTATAAAAATTGTTAAAGAGATTGTAATGAAAATTAATTGTACTTACCAGTTTCGTTGCTGGGTATTGGGAAGTATAGCTGCATTTTTTCTTCATAAATACGAATATCTTTCTCCAGAAACAGACAAAATATCACCCGTTCAACCTGATACAATCAGAAATAGACCTTTGTAAATGCAATAGAAATTGTTTTTTGGCTTAGAATCAAAATTCATTAAAAAACAAGAGAGCAGAAAAGAGAGAGAGAGGACAATCATAATTTTTTTAGAAAGGAAATAATAAAGAAAAAGTAATAAAGAATAAAATTAGAAAAATTGAACAATTAATTTTTTAATATATGCTTAATTACAAATCTAAACCAGTTCAGGATTAAACAAGTTTTAATGTTGAATACGTATGAAAAAAAAAAAAAAAAAAAAAAAAAAAAACTTACTTTTTCATTATTTTTTTCTAACCATTCTCGTACAGTTTTTAGGACAACTTCAGCAGCCTTATCATTAGGATAACCTGAGGTAGGGGAAAAAAAAAAAAAAAAAAAAAAAAATGTAATTTTAGAAATGAATGCATCTTTCCAAAAATTTAACCAGCAAATTGTTTACATTCTAGTTCACATTGCTTAGGTCACTTTTATGCAAATTCCTGATGAAAGGCATGCAAACTTTTCCTACACAATATCTCGTGATCACTTAGCTCGATAATGCATATGCCATCAGCATTGAAAAGGAAGTGAGAGAATGAAGGTTAGACCAGTCATGACACTTTTTAATTGAAAGAAGGTCTTCATTTCAATTCATATAAGCATGAATTCATTATTCATAAGCCATTTCAATTGATAAAATAATGATAACCACAGAAAGAAACAAGTAAAAAGATAGCATAACACACACACACACACACACACATAGTGATATATAAAAAATTCAAAATGTCTATTTATTTAGTATCTTCAGATCAGTATTAGAATGATAGTACTTTGCAGTATTTTGCTATTATACATTGATTCTATTTTTTTCATTTTTGTTGTCTTTCCCAATTTGACTACTGTTAACCTTTATTCAAATATCTTCAGGAAGAATTGAAATTCTCTGGAAAACTGTTAACCCAACCAAAAAAAAACACATAATGGAAATAACAAAAATTATTAAAAGTTGTTAATACTCACCATAAATACCCGTAGATACACAGGGAAAAGCCTGTATGGAAAAAAAAAATTAAAAAAAATATTGCTATACTATTTCTTTAATAAATCATAATTACAGATAAACAATATTTTGATTTATTTACAATCAATTCTTTCTGGAATGAGGAGCTATCATTATTTATACTATTTACATGTGGATTATAGTCCTTTGTTAATGTTATCACAATATTTTGGCTGTTGTGATATCCAGCCTTCATCAGGTATAAATATGATATGGGAGCTGCTAAAGAAAGAAAGACAAATGACAGCAACGAGAAAAACCTTCAGTGAGTGCAGTCAAGCAGCAACACACATCAGCAGGCAGGTTAGGTTCAAGGCTCCAAGTTCTTCACAGAGAATTGTCTTATGGGATTAAAGTGTTGGTTCAGGAATTTGGCAACATAGTAATTGTGGGTTCAATTCCTGCACCAGGCAGGAATTGAACTCACAATTACACAGGCACTGTGTACTTTGGCTGAGTGGAAACAGGGTAGGCAATAACTGAGCAGTCTACCAAAGTAGATTAAACAAAGGGTTCCATTCAGAATTCCCTGTTGCTTCACAACAGTTGAAACGTTGATTGATAAAGATGAGGACAATAGTCTGCATGTAAATAATACTTTGTCATATTAACATTATCACATTTTATTTGCATTGAAAATTTTTTTTTAACTAAATGTTAAAAGAAGTTCAACAGAAAGGTATTAAAAAACTTTACAGCACTAGTTATCTGCAGAATGTTCTTGAAGCAATTACTAAAATAATGAGGGAAAAGACAGTAAAAATTTGGTTGGGGTGGGGGAATTCTTTTATAATTTGAACATTTTCCATATATTCCTTTTAAAATACTCACAATTGACTTTAGTTCATTTTCAAGTAAGTACTTTAACGAATTTTCATAACAGCTTCTTAGTTTATCTGGATCTTCTCCCCGTGGCCCGACAGTATGGATCACATCTACAAGACAAAGAAAATTACAAAATTCTTAGTAACTCATTTTCAAATTTTTAGATAAAGCAGTTTTACAATTATTGAATTGCTATTTTGTTCTATCTTATTATTTTAATGTATTCATAATAGTGAAAATGCTGTATCTATAAACATCTCAAAATATTACAATGTAATAAAACAAAGATGATGCATTGAATCAGAAAAAAAAACAAAACAAAAGGCTGAGGAGATTAACTACAGATTGTATTCTTTTTAATGATCAAAGGATATGTGGCTGAAGTGGTTAAAGCAACATCCATGAAAGGCAGGCTCCCAAAATGTGGGATGCAAGTTCAAATATTGTTAAAAGTTAATTTCTCACCAGTCCCTCTAAGCAATTAAAGAGTATAGTGAAACAATTGTTGCTGACCGATTGATTTTTTTTATGACTTAACCTTTTTCAGGTTATTTAAAGTCAGAAATATTTTGAGTTTAAGAACTTTTTAGCGATAATAATTTTTGCATACAAGTCCTAAGTAACCCATAGCTGATGCAGAGGGAGAAAATGTGGATTCATGACCTTTGTCAAGGGTATTTGCACAAAAAGTGAATATAATCAACCTGACTGAAATTGGAATGCGGTTCTCCGATTTCAAATTCTGATCTGTTACCCATTATTACACCACCTGTACCTGGTATTCCCAAGTGGTCACTCATCTATGTCCATAAAAGGATTGGGATATATAATAATATGGAAAACTAGTAGTAAAATAACTAACAGTATGACTAACTAAATTTTTCTCTGAGAAAGTTTATTTTGACAAAGTTTTAATTTAAATATTTTAAAGTTTTTGTTTTTCCTCTTGCAAAAAGGAATTGAACAGTTTTCCAAAAATGTCCATGCAAATATTTCACATGAAGTAATACTTCATCAAAAGTGTATTCACACAGCCTTCAGTGTCATGGTGACATACTGATTACAAAAAAAAAAAAAAAAAAAAAAACTAAATAATGGTTTGTTGTTTAATTTTTTTTTTTCGTCTGCACATTATAAAATTACTTGTAAAGTTTCATACTCACATTTTGCTGGTAAATCATAACCTAGAGAAAAAGAATTAAGTAAACAGTTAATATTAGTTATAAGACATCTTAGACAAAAAAAACAAAAAAAAAACAAAAAACAAAAAAACTAATTTCTCATCTTGCTATATTTTGGTTTTTATAATTTTCAAAACTATATTTTACTGGTTACTGATCCTGATGTTAAGCAATGCAAAAAAACACAAATATGAAATTAGGTAGCATCTCACAAAATGTTTATTCCAGGTGCAACCCAATTTCCTGCCAACCTATATTTTCAATAAATATAAATACTTTAAAAATCATGTTAAGAAGTATATTGTATAAATGGGCATGAAATTAAAAATGTACAAATGCTGTTAAATCTTAAAATTAAGACATAAAAGTTAAATATCGGAGGATGAAGTAATTCTGGAACATATTTTCTCTTACAAAGATGATTTAAATAAATTCTGAAATGTAATACATATTTTTTAAATTAAATATTGATCATTTACAAATTATTTTTTTAGAATTAATTCTATCATCTGTTAATTAATTAAACATCTTTCCATTATGTTGTATTCATCTCTAAGCTATACTTGAATTTTTCCGAGTTCATTTACTGTTATTCTTATACAGGGATATGTGAACTTTGGAAGCTTTTGAGTTGCAATCAAATCCTCTCCTTGCAAATAGGATATATATTTTTTTCTATCAGTTATAAAACATTCAAAGAATACTATAATTTAGTCTGCACATTTTGATGTATAAAATACAGCAAATATTTCTGTTTGAATTTCTGAGATTTTTTTGTCTATCAGATATCAACCAGTGTACCATCCCACCACCATTTTTCCTCATATCTCAGTAACCTTCTGGAAAAGTCAGACGGAATGCTTTATTCGATCAAACATATTGTTTTTATTCACCTACTGATTACATGATGTTTTTCATGAGGAATATCAACTGACAATCTGTCTCCACTGACCTGGTGTATTTTTCTGTGCTCAGAAATCAAAATGACAACTTACTAGAAAACAGATGAATTACATCAACAGTTATATACGTCAGCTATATCCCATTGTATACATTTTTTTTCTTGCTCTTAAACCTAATATCTTTTTTTGTTTTTTCTCTTAAAATTACAGGCTGCCATATGATGCCCATACCTGATGATGTATATTAAATTTTATACACTATACATACAATAGACAGTTGTGAATACATAAAAGTAAATAGGCATAAGCATGTGGAACAGGGTTTATATAAACCTGTCTTGCTGGTATGTATTAGTCCAGTTGCTATTATATATAGTTACATTTCAGGATTCCTTTCCAAACAACAAATTAGAAATGATGCTTATACCCAATTGTCAATCGTTCCACAATCTAATTTGTAACATTGAGAGCAAGAGAAAGAGATGAAAAAAAAAAAAATCCACTGACCTCCTGTGATGACAGCTTGCCCAGTGAGGCAAGGTCTAAGAGTCATGCATTCTTGTTTAAGAAATTTACCAGAAGCAGAATGGATGGCACCATCAACTGGAAAAGAAGACAACAATTCTTAGCAAATGCAACCTGGGAGGAAGAAAGGATAGAAAGAAAATGGACAATCTACAATATTTTTTCTAACAAAATTCTTCTACATAAAACAAATTGGTGTTGGTGACAATGGAGTTTTTCTGGTCCGATGTTAAATTAAACCATATGTGATCTTAATTTGTCACACAATGCCACACACAATTTTTTTTCTCCATAATTTTTCAGTTGTTCTGAATGAACAAAATGTTAGCAACAAAAAAAAAAAAAAAAAAAGACACATTCAACTGATTTTCATATATTCCATCTTGCCTATTTTGCTCAGATATTTCATATCAGTCATTTTATTGCATGTATGAAAGCTATTTTTTCACAATCCTTATGTGAAATTTGTGATGGGTACTGCTTTGTGAACTATTATCTATGGTAAAAATAGTGCTTTCAGTTTACCCAAAGCCTTAAGTAACATTCCAGCACTACATCTAGGAAAAATTACCCCTTGGCAAAAAAAAACAAAAAAAAAAACAACAATTTCATCAACAAATTGAAAAGCATAAATATGAAAAATAAAATAGTCTTTCACTTAGATAATAAACTCTGATATAATAACATACCAGTCAAAATTTTTAAGTATTCTAAAGACATTCCATCATAAAATCAAAAGTAGATCCGTTTCCCTATTGATCAACAATAACACACAGCATAAAGCAACAGTAGAATAAATAATGTTATCTCAAAATATTGGTTTATAGTCAATGAACCAACTGTTGCAAATTCTGATTAATGTACTGCATTTTATCCTCACTCTCTTAGAGAAGTCATGAATCCAGTTTTGTTATTTTTTTTATCTAATCATTTCGCTTCAAGCAAAGCAATAAATCTAAGATGCAAGGGGTTACTGCATGTAAAAGAATATGAAAAAAAAAAAGAAAATAATATTATGGGGAAAGAACAATAAAAGAACAGCAATTAAGAAAATATAATATAATGATTGACATTGCATTTAAATTTTTGAAGATCAAAGTTGACTGAAAAAAGTTCCACATCAAGAAGTGCAAGAGAATAAACCGTTAGAACTTACAGTTACATCTAGCAATTTCAACTATAAAATGATGAGACCTAGCTGCCAATCTAGCAGTTACCCAATTCTATTGCCAGTCATTTTACCCATACATTGAGAAGACATTGAGAAGTTTGGTTGAATGAAATAAAGAGAAATGTTAGTATATAAATAATACCCTTACTTTAAAATTTAAAGCAATAGCAATGAACTGTTGCCATATCTATTGTTAGTTATGATTGACAAAAGCCATTGTAATGAGGAATACCTGTAGACATTATTTTTCTATGTGCAGTGTCTTTTGTAGCGCGTGATAAATTTTGTCTTTTTGTTATCTTTTCTAAACTGTCTTGCAATTCATTTACTCAAGCTTGTTAGGTAAGTCACACATTGTTTCCCTCTGTCCCTCTTGCCTTCAACTTGTCCTGCAAGTATCAAATTTTCCAAACCCTCTTTCCTCATTATGTACCTTAGAAATTTCAACTATCTCTTTCTGTTTTTGTATTCATTTTCTCTAAACCTAATATTCTCAGCATTCTCATATAGAACCACATTTCTGTTGCTTCAACTCTCTCCATCAGTCAGTAGATTGTCCAGCATTTACTGCCATATATGTAAGAGTTTAGTATTTTTTTTATTCCAACTCACAGATTGTTATTCTATGACTTAAGTAAGCAGCAAGGATTAGAAATAGAGAAAAAACAGTCTCCAGCGAGATTGAAACTATAATGAGCCCAAATCCTGTGCATTTTTTTTTAACAGTAGAGCTTTGAACATACAAGATTAGAAATACTAGAGAAAGATTAAAAAGAAATCTCCAAAGCTTTAAAACTATTATCGTCTTGGTCCATATCAAACTGCATTACTTAATATAAGGGAGAGAAATAATATTTGTGCGGTCATGTCTTTACACAGTTTTCTCCCTTACATAAAATTGTCCTAACTCTTTCAAGACCAGCATTTATAGCTCCAAAATGTTATGTAGTAAAAAGCATTACGAACATTGATAGAAGTTTAAGTTAAAGCAAAAGTTGCAAGCGTGGAACCAATTGAAAAGCTGAAATGCACAGAAACTGAGGGGGTGGGGGTCTAATTCTCCGTGTTAAAACGGAGAAAAGAAAATTGTGCTTAAGTTCCATGATAAGAAAGAAAAAAAAAAAGAAAAAAAAAGGTGAAACGAGAGAGAGAAAGAAAGAAAAAAAAAGGTGAAACGAGAGAGAGAAAGAAAGAAAAAAAAAGGTGAAACGAGAGAGAGAAAGAAAGAAAAAAAAAGGTGAAACGAGAGAGAGAAAGAAAGAAAAAAAAAGGTGAAACGAGAGAGAAAAGAAAAGAAAAAAAAGGTGAAACGAGAGAGAAAAAAGAAAAAAAAAAAATTGAAACGAGAGAGAAAAGAAAAAAAAAAAAAGGTGAAACGAGAGAGAGAAAGAAAGAAAAAAAAAGGTGAAACGAGAGAGAGAAAGAAAGAAAAAAAAAGGTGAAACGAGAGAGAAAAGAAAAAAAAAAACGAGAAAGAAAAAAAAAAAAGGTGAAACGAGAGAGAGAAAGAAAGAAAAAAGGTGAAACGAGAGAGAGAAAGAAAAGAAAAAAAGGTGAAACGAGAGAGAAAAAAGAAAAAAAAAAAGTGAAACGAGAGAGAGAAAGAAAGAAAAAAAAGGTGAAACGAGAGAGAGAAAGAAAGAAAAAAAAGGTGAAACGAGAGAGAGAAAGAAAGAAAAAAAAGGTGAAACGAGAGAGAGAAAGAAAGAAAAAAAAGGTGAAACGAGAGAGAGAAAGAAAGAAAAAAAGGTGAAACGAGAGAGAAAAGAAAGAAAAAAAGGTGAAACGAGAGAGAGAAAGAAAAAAAAAGGTGAAACGAGAGAGAGAAAGAAAGAAAAAAAAGGTGAAACGAGAGAGAGAAAGAAAGAAAAAAGAAAAGGAAAAGAAATAGAGGAAAAAACATTGCTCTCAAATGAATGTCTTCAACTCTAACAAAGCAGGCTTTTCATCAAAGAAAATGCCAAACTGTACATACATTATGAGTACCAGCCAGGCCCCAGGATTTAAAACTTGGAAAGATCATCTTAATAGGTGCTACATGGCAATACAACAGGTCATGATTAAGTGAGGCAACAATCTCCATATCTTTAAAAACAAAAAAATGCTGCTTGTGCTTTAGCAACAATAAGAAAGCTTTCTTTCTCAATTGGTTTCACCATTGTTTTATATCTGAAGTGAAGAAATACCCTGAGAAGAAGCAGCTGTCATTCAAAATCTTTATTATTGTCAATGATAATGTAGGAGAATGAACATAATGGTGTGATGATTCTGCCTGCAGACATTTTATTAAGGCATCATGAAGTGAGTGAAAGTGATGTACACCTGTTTTACCTTTTGCAAACATTTGTGCTGTACCATATGCTAACCTAGATATTACAGTATCATGGATCTATGAAACAGTTTTATAATTGTGGATGCAACTGGGCTTATTGCCAAGTCTGTTGATGCCCTAAAGCTCGAAAGGCATCATACAGCATGACAGTCAAATACTTCAAAGGCGTAATTACAATTTATGTGGAGGAGATTTTGCAGTTTGTCAGAGACAATTGGTGAGGAAGGTTTCTCTGATATTATCAATAACCAACACATCAAAAAGATTAGTGAAATCCTTACTGATGAAAAACTGTAAAAAAAAAAAAAAAAAAACTGCCAAAATTGTCAATAGGAGAGGAAGAAAAAGATGCTTTCATCATTGAATAAGTTTGCAGCAGTCATGCACTTGGCCAAAGGACAGGAAAAAACGCCTGCATAAAATTTGTATGGTCACAATTGATTTAGATCAACTGCAAAAGTTGTCAGACAAACCCAAGTGAAAGAAGTAGCAACTTCCTATAATTGTTATTTTTAAACCTACAAAATCCTCAATTGTGAAGCCTTATTCAATTCATAAAACATGACCTTATGCTTCCTCCATAACAATGATGTACATAGGCACTCATATATATAAGGGTTTTGAATATATGCAGCTTCCGAGAAACTAATTGGCTGTATAAGATGCAAGCCTACTGTATATGGGATATTTGAGTGACACCTGATGGTAAGACAGGATCCAAAGAATAAAGGATGCAAATTAAAAAAGTAAGCCTCACCAGAGGTTCTTTTTATTTATTTGTAATCCATACCGTTTAAAAGATGTTGAATAACAATCTGAGAATTGTGATAAAAACTAACAGAATTAAAAGGAAATGAAAGACAGTCAAAAATTAATAAAGCTTATTTTAATCTGGCATTATGATTCATAATGATGAGGTACTCAGAAGTGAACTTTCTATACTGGTGAAATACACAACTATGTCAGAAGTATTTTATAGACTATATTTCTTAGATTAAATAAACTCATCACTTTGAAGATCAGATATATACATCAAATTGCAGCAGTTAATTTGGAGTAATTCTAAGAAATATTAAAAGTTGTCATCACTATATAAAATGATGATAATGGCAATAACAACAATAGTAACAATAGTTGTGTTTCTGTCAAGAATCTGCAAATTCTTTTTCATTGAGCCACTTACCTCCTCCTCCTCCCATCAAACTTTCATTGGCTGCATTCACAATAGCATCAATTACTAAAGAAGTTATGTCACCTTTCCAAATAGACACTTTGTTGTTAAGCTGAACACATGGTGATTTGAGGCTGCCTGAAGAGAGAAAGAGAGATTTTTTTTTAAATAAATGGAAATAAATTAAAAAAAAAAAAAAAAAAATAGGGACACTTAAACATGCCTATATTTGAAGAAGAAAAAGTAAAAGTACTATTTGACTTCTGAATCAAGACAATAAAAGTTTAATGAAAAATTATTTTAAAACTATAATTCTATCTCCAGCCTCCAATCACTACTTGTTTAACAAACCCAAAAATGTAATTAAAAAAAAAAAAAATTCACTGGTAATTTTTGTGCACCTAATGCTTTTCATCACACACACACACAAAAAAAAAATGAATGAAGCTATTTTCTTAAAGAAACAATGAAGTTTATAGATTACCTTTGGTACCCTTACGGTCATCTTTGATTTCACGTTCTGTAAGTGAGAGAAAAACAAGTTATTTCATCATTTTTTTTTAAAAAGAGTGTACATAAAGATAAAATAATGCTTTAATCCACCAAGCTATTGATTTGTAGGTTATCTGAACTTATATACACTTGATGAAGGCCAGAGAGCACATTGGACGAAATGTTTTATAACAACAACATAGATGAGGACAATAGTCCAAATGTAAATAAAAGTGTTTATACAACCTAACTTACAGTCTATAATGTGTATAAAATAATTATAATGATTTTCATTATTTCTGAATGCCTCTTCTACAAAGATTTTTTTTTTTATTGAATATGAATACATTTTCTTATAAAATTCCAAAGCTAAAAAGACAGATGAAAATAAATGAATATATCTAGTGATGAAATATTACATTTAAACATATCATCCCTAGAATAGTCACTGTTTACAGTTGAACTTTGGTATACGTTAATAAACAAAAGAAACAACGAAACTCACCTTTTCTAGAATAATATTCAGTCCAAGTGTCAATGCTTTTCAATAGAGTGCATTTTCTAAAGTTACATCGGGCTTTACGTTCTTCTATATTTTCTTTAAGGTTTTTCTCTGTAAAATATAAAAAACAAAAACTTTAATTCTGCAAATTTTTATATTGCATAAGAGTTAAAGAACTTACTGGAATAAAATAGATGTGGACATGGAACTTAGCCACTTGGCCTAACAAGAGATTTTTTTCTTTTCTTAAAAAGAGGAGAGGAAACAATTTTTTAAAAACTTCAAGCCACATTAATATATACAGGGTGATATGAAAAATAAACAACCTTAAATTTTAAGCTATTTTTGTTTTAGTTATTCATTTTTTTCATTAATTTTAATTAAATGGAAAAAAAACATGTTAATATGAAAATTTGAAGAAAAGTCAATGACTAAAGAGTTATCAGCAATTTTATTTGTATCGATAAAACAGTTAAAGCTTTATCATGCATCTTTTAGAATAAGAAAAAAAATACAACTACTTCCTACAGGGAAGAGCAAACTTTCTATTGGCAGGTGCTTATTGCCACACAATTCACATCATGAGATTATATAAACAGCTGTGTATGTGTGTGTGTGTATATATATATACACACACACACACACACAGGTGTTTCTTACTTCATAGTGCCACTCAAAGTTTCATGTGCAAGGCAAAGGAATTTATGTCTTATGAATGTACTACATATGAGACTGAGTATATTGGTGCAGTAAAGAACAATGATACTTTCAAATATATATATATATACATACATACACACACACATTTGTGTATTTAGGCAGCAATCCTTCTTTCATGCGCATTTCATTTAGCCATTTTCAAGGACTAAATATTTTAACTGTTAAAATAAGAAATAGTTTGCAGCATATGTTTTATAAAATGTTTTCATTTTTCAAAACACAGTCAAGATATTGTGTCCATGGTCATAGTTAATATTATTAAGTGTTTTTTTTTTATTAATAAAGCTTCCATTATTTTTAGCCTTTTTTGCAGGTAGATGATGCTATTATATTAGTGTTGTCAACAAATATGTTACAAATAGTGTCTGGTAGATCTCCATGAATATTTAAATGAGATCTAATTGAGCAATGGTCAGAAAGGTGTAGAGTGAATCTGTGTGTCAAACATGTTGTAGTGTGGCCCATATATTTACGAATTTTGATTGATCAGGAATACAATTCCTTTATGAGCATCTAAATTCATAAATAATATTTGCCATATTTAATTTTGCTCTAAGGAGTGAATTATTATTTTTAATTATAAGGTTAGGATAAAAAAAGAAACATTCAAACAGTTTTTATATAATTTATCATCTGAAAAAAAAAAAAAAAAAAAAAAAAAAAAAAAATCGCTGAAAACGTATTCCCACAATTTTGAGTATTTTGAATGAAAAATGAAAAGAATTCTGGCGACAACGTGACCATGTTTTAAACGGAGCGCTGATATTATAAAACTTTCAGTTATTTGTTTGGATAAGTCTTGTTCTAATGTACATCGTCTTTGTCATGTTGTATTGATAATGTTATATTTATGAATATGTCCTGAAGATGGTTTATTAGACCGAAACGTCAGACGTTGACATATTAACATTAAAACAGCATAATCGTATATAAGGATTTTTGTTTTGTTTTTTCCGTATATATTTTTCTTCATACTGTCGGATCTATATCCATATATTTGCTTATATATATATATATATATATATATATATATATCTCTTGAAAATATATTTTCAATTGAGCACTGTTGAATGACAAACTAATTCTAAAAACAATGGTCACCTGTGTAAATGCAAAGCTCTTCAGTAAAATGAATAGAGCACTTTGGCTGCTTGGTGTTTGTTTACGTTTGTAAAAACAATTCACTAGAATTGGCTGACTCATTCTGTCAAGTGAAGATGGCTCAGTGGTAGAAGCTCTGACTGACCAAATCAGTTGGGTTTCAACTCGGGCTTGAGGCATTCGGTTGTCTAGTCGCACTGAGGAGCTGTGATACAGCAAAACAGTACTGTCTGCAAATGACACACAAACATATATATATCTCCATTTTACTTAAATAGTAATGTAACTCTTACCAGGTTTTTTTTTAGCTTCATTTGTAGAGCTGTTTATTTTGGTAAGAACATGATTATGGTGCCTATGTAGTGTACAGTATATTTTCTTCTTTTTTAAATATAATTTGAGAAATTTTAATTACAAAAATAAAGATTAGTTAGATACATCAATTTCTAATGATAAAAAAATACACACAGTATTATATTTCAAGCACTGAAGGTAGCAATAAATATGTTAATGAGTTTATTTGATTGATTCATTCATTTTCTACAATTTAACTTTTCGCATTATTTAAAGCCAGAAATTATTTCTTTAGATTTAAGAATTTTTTTTGAGAAAATAATGGTTTCAGTGATATAAGTCTTACTAATTAACATATAGCTAGGAGGAGAAGAGTGGGATTCATACATTTCCCAAGCATATTTGCATATAAGATGAATATAACATACCCAACAGGAATTGAAACTTGACTCTCTGGTTTACAATTCAGAGCCATTATCCATTACACCACCCACACATCTAAGTTTATAACACATAGTATTTCCAAGTGGTCACCGTTCTAGGTAATGACAATGTTGCTTAACTTTGGTGAGTGTATGGGAACTGATGTTTGAATGTGATGTTGCCATAAGCCTTTAACAAGTTTAACATCCACACACAATATTAAAGGTTCAAACATTGAAGGTAGCAATGAATATGTTAATAAGCTTTTAATTTGTAGCTTTATTACAAAAGATGCCAATTTAATGTCACCTTGACATCATCATTAGATAAAGGCAAAACAGATCTTGGTGGTCCAATCTCTATTGTCAATATAAACTCAAACAAGCAGATATTCTCAGTACAGTTGAAAGAAGAATCACCTATTGCAAGACTGTGAAAGCAGTCAGATGAGCCATGTTAACTGCTCAAATATCTGGTGAAAAATGGATTCCCAGAATACCAATGCCACAGACGATGAGACTTGGATTCACCAAAGTGAATAAGATTAATGTAATAGTGCCACCCAAACAAGTTCAAGACAGCTGGCTCTACAGGGAAAATGATGGACACTGTTTTGGGACCAGAAGAGAGTCAATGACATCAATATCTATTCTGACTCCTATGTGAGTATATTATCAATGTAATCATTTATCTAGTATATTGAGAGTTGCTTTACTCTTACTGCTTCAGTCAATGCCTTAGTTATGCTAACTAAGCAGTCATTTACATATCCCTATGCTCAGAGCAAAGCTTTTTTGAGCTATGCCATATTTTTTACAATATGACAATACAAGTTTTCATACTAGCTTAAAGCCTAGACAAGCAATCACAGCTGGACAACCTTGCTTTATCCCCGCTATAGTCCTGATCTGGTAGCCTAAGACTTGCATCTGCCAGAGCCAATGAAGGAGGTTCTTACAGAATAGCATATCTGCAAAAATACAAAACTCAAACATGCTTAAGAAAAAATCCAACAAACAGTGCTATTATAGCATGCGGTCTACCACAATACAAACAACATATACTGTGGAGTGATAGCCATGTTCAAATTCAAAATAAGTAACAGAACTGCCCAACAAACAGAATTAACAAAGTTTGCAATAAGCAATAACAAGAAAAGAACAGAGCAAAAAATAATATAAAGCAAGCAAACAATATATGCAAGACAAATTAATATGGCAAAAATACACAAACTAAGAATTGGGGTTGACACACAAAAATAAATAAGTTTGGACAAGCAAATGTAGTGTCAAGACAAGACAGACCAGGACTGGGTCAGATGAAACTGAGAACCGGTCTATTTTATTGGCTAGGAAAAAATTCCTAGCATCCATTTGTGTGCTTCTGCCTTTAAAAAAGGGAAGGGGCAAGTGTTCTATAGCCATTCCCCAGAAGATTGGAATTAACATATACAGTAGATCCCAAATACTGAGCTATATTACAATAGCATCCAAAAAGGCTACAAGATGAGTATGCATGTGCCATAAATTAAAGTGAGAAAGAAAGAGACTGTGTTAGAGATTATATTTGGGACTCTTTGCTATGCTTTGTGTGCTTCTACTATTAAATCAGAACAAGTATTTTTCTTTACCAACCCTCATATCTGAATAAACAAATGTAAATTTTGTCTATCTACTGTTCAGTTTAGTTAGGAACAATAGATTGTTATGTTAAGTGTCACTGAACTAAAACACACATAATAATTCAAAATTGAAACGTTAGGTGTGGCTAACATTTTTATAAACCATGTGAAAAAAATATGCATATACATGCAGTCATAAAATGCAATTCATTTTATTTGAAATTCTGTAACACCCAAACTTTTACAGGTGAAATGAAGAGGTAATAAGACTTAAATTTGAACAATGGAAAACACTGAAATTGTATTAAATTTTTGAAAATGCACATTGAAAGTCAGAAATATATCAACTGTTATTAAGATAACAAGTGTGCATTGATTTAAGGGGTTGAGAGAGTGAATGACAAAGTTATTTAGAATTATTGCACATATTTCAGCAAGATAATCAATTATGGAATCATAAGTTTTGTAATAAACAAAAAAATTTAATGGTCGTAAGATTATGAGAATGCCCTTTTCACAGAACATAGACAAACATATTTATCAATGACTATTTACAAAATTTATGAATATTATGGCTGTTTTTTGTTTTAAGGTCAGAGATTAATTTTACAGGTTACTTATTTCTAAAATAACATGTATTTTCAAAGCATATGAGAGAAAAAGAAATTTTTTTAATGCAATGTTATTGATCCTGACCTGGCATCTCAGCTTCAGACTCTTTCTCACCACCATATCATAGTTTTCCTATGCCTTTTCTATAAATACTTTCATGGTAATTGTTCTGATGAACTTTCCACTATGGTACCTAGACTTTATGAATTTAAGCACAGTTTTCATTGGAAACAAAGAAAAGAGTACTGAACTGTTATGTGATATCTTGTATAGTAGCGAATGTTGGACAATGTCCTCAAAAATGAAAAGACCCAAAGAAACAGAAATGTGGTTCTCCAGA